AACCGAAACGGATGACGGGATGCTCCAAATTGATCTGCTCGACCGAACGGGGTCCGACACGGCATTTTCCCAGCGCAGAAAGATTCCCCTTTTCGACCGGCTGATAAACCAAATGGGAGTCCGAAGTGTGAGGGCCTCTTTGCGAATTCCGTCATTTTGCCCCGCGCGCGCGAGCCACATCACCTGCTTAACCAACCCTGATTCAGAAACATTTCACTGACCCCAGAAACCAATGCTCAGGTAGGATTTGCTGGTCTTGTTTGCTTTTGAAACGTTCTCATAATCGATATCAGCTCAAGTTCAAGCTCAAGGGCGCCATGATCAGGGCCAGTCTATGAGTATTTCAGCCATCCTGCTTGTTGATTGACCTTGCCCACACGTGTTCACCGGTCCGCTGAGAGTCCTTGTGTATGGACGCAAAATCGTACATTCAGACGTGATGAACCACGCCACGTCGAGGATTTTGTCAGATAGATGTCTCTTTGTCCTTTAATCTGTTACACTCCGACCTTATCATTCCAAATACTGTTGATCACTTTGGAACATAACGCAGCACTTGACTAGACTAGTAGCTGTGAAAGTCAATAAAACAGTTTTATGTTTCAGATACAATATTCATATATCAAGTCTCATAGCTTCGGAAGTACCATAAGCATTCCGGTAGATTTATTCTTCCCTTCTACGTGGAAAAGATGTCTACCATGCCCTTACCGCAAAAAGTTGCATATATCATGTATTGAATATTACAGCAGAGACGAGAATATCAATTTCAGTGCTTCAATATCAATGATCTGTATTGTTGTCTTGATTTCCAAAGGATTTTATCGGTGCCCATGGTTCGCATGCGTGACGCCCTTTGTAGTGTTTATCTGCAGTGCTCATTTTCGGCGATGTAACTTCAAGTTTGATTTTGCACAGTGGACAGGGAGAATAACGGGCATGCACAGCAAGTATTAACTTTGCTCAATGAAGTAGAATTACCTGCTTGTATGACAGCAATCGTATTATTATTTTGCCAGAAATTTCAACCAAGCACATAACTTACACACGAGATACCACGTGAGAATCACTTTCCCTTTCTTGTCATTGAGCTTCAAGGGCTCAGAAACTTGACACGGTCGTCCAAAAATCAATTTCAGCGGGCATCTTCAGTTCCAAAAGGTCTAACAAGTGAATGAGTTGAAATGTAGTGGCAGCATCCATTCAACACCGGGAAGAAAGGCCCTTATATGATCGTAGAGACATATTATATTATGAAATAACCCAAAATATAGTTTCTAGATGTTCCATCCTGGCGAAAAACTACTACCATGTGCTCCGTCTAAAAGTCGGTCGTGGTAGTGATCGACTCCCACTCATCCATCAACGCAAGCGTCTCCTGGCACTTCTTCCGCACCGCAGCCAGGCAGTCTGTACCAAGAACCAGTCTGATGGGGATCTCTCTACCCTCAGCAACACCAGACTTGGTGAAAACGTCCACAACGACACGGGCTCCCTTAACTGGGTCACCTGGCTGGTGGTTGTCTGCTTCGTTAAGCAACTTCTTGTAGTTGCCAGCGGGGCCGGTTTGGTACGCATCCAGGTCTACCTTGGCCTTGATGCGAGCGCCAGGGTTGAGGAATCCGGTGCGAAAGTAGCCTGGTTCGAGCGCGCAGACGTCAACACCGAATGGTCTGAGTTCATCACGGAAAGCCTCCGTCAAGTTGCTCACGGCCGCCTTCGTTGCGCAGTACAGCCCGGCGGCAGCGCAGCTCTCCCAGGTGCCAAGGCTGCCGATATTGACGACGACGCCGAAGCCCTGAGCTCGCAAATGGGGAGCAGCGGCACGGCAGACTTTCAGGGTGCCGAGGACGTTGGTGTTGAACTGATCAAAGGCTTCTTTGGCATCGGCCTCCTCGACCGTACCGTCGAGGACGTAGCCGGCAGAGTTGATGACATGGGTGACTTTGCCGTGGAGTGTGAAGGCCTTGTTGACAGTGTCGGTGACAGAAGCCTCGTCGGCGGTGACGTCCAAGGGGAGCAGGTCAGCACCCGAGGAGGCGAGAGCAGAGATCTTGGACGGGTTTCGTGCGGTTGCGATGACCTTGTGGCCGCGAGCGAGGGCCTCCTTGGCGATTTCGAAGCCAAAACCTGAAGAGGCGCCAGTGATGAACCAGACTGGAGATTCCATTTTGATTTAGGATGCTTCGAGGAGTAGTCTGCGATAAGCTGTTTGTTTGATGAAGGATTCAAAGCTTGTTATGTAGCTTGGCTTGAGTAGACAAGGTAAGAGCTGTAAGTGAGAGTGATGATGCAGGGAAGTTCACTTTCTAAGGGAAAACCATCATCTTTTATGCATATTTCACTCCATATCCATGGCCATGAGAAGGGCGCAACTCATTTAGGCTGTTGTGGCTGCTGTATGTCAGATCCAAGTCCTAGCCATTGGTGAAGCCACACGGCGATAACTTGACTTTGCTTACTTCTTAGACGAGGTGGTGCAGCGGCGTTAACCTGTCTGAGAACAGCCGTGTGACTTTTAACATCCCTTTCGTTTCATGCCAAGGAATCCGACTGCTATGGTGCAACTGAGGCTTGATGCCACTGATCGCCATTGGTGTAAGCGCCGCGAATGGCAGCCATGGGTTAACGCCGAAGATCACCATGAGCTTGACTGGCTGTCGGCGATAGGCGATGTGGTTCGTCCGTTGGAGTTTAGAGTGCGAACCGATGGCTTGGTTCGGCCGACACTGGCATACCTCATTGGCCTAGGACTTTGCGAGGAATTAAGCAGAAGTATGATCCTCTGGACTCAGACGTATTTACGGATTTCGATCTCAGTTGTCATTGAAAAGAGGTTGATGATTGAGTTGGCTGCTCAGATGGTCCGCCCGGCAGTTTGACGACCCCAGAATCGCCTAGCACCATTAGGGAAGCCGGAACGGTGGGTCTAACTCCGTGGGTGGAGCCGCTATCGGAATATTTCCCAGCAAGCACCGTCCGCTGGTGCCCTTTGGCGGGGACATGGACCCGGCGTGGACCTGAGTCGCATTTCGACCTCAGGGTCTCCTCTCCCACTTGACACCTTTCTCCCCGCCCAACATGGCTGTCGCAACCTGACGGCTCCTCTCGCAAGAAGCCGCCGAGCGACACATAAGCACACACAACAAAACCTTGCTTTTCCACCGGCCACGAGAAGCAGCAGCATGAACCTGCTGCTGCCGACCTTGTCCCTGCCACGATGGGTCTGTTGACCTCCCTCCCGAAGCTACCCCTCGTTGGGTCCATCCTCCTCGTCCTCTGCTCGCTCTTCACCCCCGCGACGGCCTACACCGAACTTGGCGACGAGGCTCTCCGCGCGATCCCCTCCGGCGGCGACAGCTTCGATATCCATACCGGCTCCCTGCTGGCGCCGATCCTTATCCCTCGCGTCCCCGGCACCCCCGGCTCGGCCAAGGTGCAGCAGCACTTTGTCGACTTCTTCCGCGCGCATTTGCCCGAGTGGACGATCGAGTGGCACAACTCAACCTCCAAGACGCCTGCGACGGGGGACAAGGACATACCCTTCACCAACCTCATCTTCCGCCGCGACCCCCCTTGGACAAAGGACGGCGAGGTCGAGCGCCTGACGCTTGTTGCACACTACGATAGTCTGGTCCATCCTGATGGCTTCATCGGAGCCATTGACAGCGCGGCACCTTGTGCAATGCTGCTCCACGCCGCCAGGAGCATCGAAGATGCGCTCGTGAAGAAGTGGAAGGCCATGGAGGCTTCGGGCGATGCTGGAAATGGGCTCGAGGAGGAGAAGGGAATCCAGATCATCCTTCTTGACGGAGAGGAGGCTTGGGTTTCATGGACCGATACCGATTCGCTCTACGGAGCAAGGTATGTCGTCATTCTGAGTGTTGCTGTTGAACCGTCTAACATGAGCCAGAGCTCTTGCCCAAAGCTGGGAGTCTGAAGTCCACCCCAACTCGATCTACAAGACCGGACTTTCGTCCATCAGCCTCTTCCTCCTCATCGACTTGCTGGGCGCCCCGAACCCGCGAATCCCCTCATATTTTGCTTCTACCCACTGGGCGTACAAGAAAATGGCCAAGATTGAAGACCGCATGCGCAAGCTCGGTGTGCTTGAGTCCGATCCGAAACGCCCTTTCCTCGTGGACAAGAACAAGAAGAACGGTGGATTGAGCCAGGGATACGTTCTGGACGATCATGTGCCGTTCATGGAGCGCGGCGTTGAGATTCTACACATCATTCCTACACCGTTCCCCGACGTGTGGCACAAGATTACGGATGATGGCGACCACCTGGATCTGCCGACCGTTCGTGACTGGGCACGCATTATCACGGTGTTTGCGGCTGAGTGGATGGAGGTTGATGAGTTCCTCCCGAAAATCGCGGAGTCTGAGACGGCTCATGACGAGCTTTGAATTTTGTGGCATTTAGACAGCAAGTTCTGGTTCATGTAGATGGAGTCGTGGTTTGAAGTCTTGGCAAGCAGCTATGCTTGTGTTGGAGACGTATGCATGCATAGACCGTCAAATTTGGGTCAGTATCCCAATACAACCAGGTGAAATCGTTCTCAATCGGAGCTTTGAGGCGCCAATTTTAAATGCATCAAAATTCCTCTCGACATTTTGTAGGTATACATTATGTGCATGCATATTCAGTTGCAAGTGGCTCCATCGCAAGTCTCCCAAAACCTTCCGTATTTTTAGATACTAGAAGATAATCACGGAACTGTGGTCTCAAGACAGTCACTTCTGAACTTGAAGTTGTTGTATTTGTATTTGAGTTCAATTTGTTCAGCAAAACATGGCTTTCACCATGCGCTCCATGTACAGTGCTCAAAACAGTGCTGATCACATACGCACCGTACAAGGGTCCCGCTTTGCCTGGCCCGTGCGCCAATCGGTAGTTCGTAATGGACACGAAAGCTGTCCATAAGTGCAGCAGCACCTGGCGATGTCGAAGCTCCAGCTACAAGCCGCAACAGACAAGCCGCCCAACCAGCAACAATGCGATTCCTCCACTCCTTGACACCAGCCCTCGCGCTGTTTGCGGCCGGTGCCGCGCAGGCCGCTTCATCATGGGGATTTGACAGTGCCACCGTCTCTGTCTCTGGAAAGGGCAAGGATGCCACCAAGGAGAAGTAAGTGAAGCTGGTGCTGGAGCTCTCGCGGGCGACGGAATACTCTCGATCTCGACCCAATTGCTGACGAGACACATCGACAGGCTGAGCGCGACCTCTCCTCTCAGGACCGCCCTCTCCCTCGGAGCTAAGGACTCCCTCAAGGTCATCATCACTGCCAAGGAGGGCGACAAGGCCAAGCGCCCGCACCAGGCTTTCCTGATCCTCAAGGAGACCGAGAGTGGCCTCGAGGCTCCTTTCCCTATGGAGCTCAAGGAGAACGGCCGCGGCGTCGTTGATGTCGTACGTATTCATTTGTTTCTTGATCGCATTGCCAGCCCGCTTACATCTTCCACAGGCCCAGAAGGACCTCCCCGTCCAGCACCTCCTGGCCACCAAGCCCCTCCGCGCCAGCATCGTTATCGGCTCCTTCGGCGCCTCCAAGGCCCTCGACACCACTGTCTTCGACCTCGACGTAAAGCGCGACGCCTCCGCCCCTGCCCCGACCTACGACGCTCCCATCCGCTACGGCAAGCAGCCCGAGATCAACCACATCTTCCGCGAGGACCCCCGCAGCCCTCCCAAGATCATCTCGCTGGCCTTTGTCATGGCCGTTTTGGCCACGATTCCCGTTCTTCTCGTGGGCGTACGTTCTCATCCTTATCCACGACTGTCCATGACCACACGTGCTGACTTGACTATCTTCCCAGTGGCTCTCTCTCGGCGCCAACTTCAACCACCTCTCCAAGGCCCTCGGCGCGGCACCCGTCTCCCACGCCGCCTTCTTCGGCTCCATCGTCGCCATGGAGGGCGTCTTCTTCCTCTACTACAGCACCTGGAACCTCTTCCAGACCCTGCCCGTCATCGGCATTGTCGGTGTCTCCATCTTCCTCAGCGGCTCCAAGGCCCTCGGCGAGGTCCAGAGCCGTCGCCTTGCTGGCCAGAGGTAGACTGTTGTTTTCCATGACCGCATACATATCTTAGGGAGGAAGCGAGCTTCTTTTTTCGCATCATGTGGACGAGGAATAAAGTCACCCACCAGGGCGGAAATCCCGGGGTCTTTCATCAGGGGAAAAAGTTGGCAGGGGATTCAGGACGGTTGGTGAAAACATCCCCGGCGCCGCCATTGTACATCAGCATTCACGAACAGCATCTGGGCATCTGTGGAGTAGACAAGATCGAGCAAGGAAAAGAATAAAAGGTGAAATGAACCAAGGAATGATATTGACCCCAATCTAACCAACGCCGTGCTCGCTCGCCGAATGACTACTTATGAAAACAGCGTCGTAAGCCCCTACTCCAACTCATGCTTCTCATCACCATCCCCAAGAACCTCCACGCTCCTCCTAGCCATCACCCTCGACGACTCCCCCTCCTCATAGGCCGGCGGCGCGTCGTCGGCACCAGTCGAAGCTCTCCTCCTCTCCTCCCAAACACCCTCCTCCTGCCTCATATTGCCGCCGCGGTACACCTCCGGTCCGCCGACGTACTGCTGCTGGTATTGGTACTGCATCCCACCGGGGACGTACGCGGGGTACCGTCCGCCCGAGAAGCGCTGCGCCTTGGCGGCGTGTCTCTGCGCGCGGCGCTCCCTCTTTTGCTGGCGCCCCTTGCCGAAGGGCAGGGCCACGGAGCAGATGCCGCAGGGCTGGCCGCCGGGCCCGGAGTGGTTGCAGCCGGAGGGGCCTGCGGGGGCGTAGCCGGCGGTCGTGACGACGGGCTGCTGGTTGTGGTTGTGGCCGTAAGGGTTCCTGCCGGCGGCGACGTGGACGACTGTCGAGACGAGACCGGTGATGAGACCCATTTGTGGTTGTGTGGTTGGTTTGGTTTGGTGAAGTGTGGGATAGTGCGTGATGCAGTCACGATGTGAAAATAGGCAGTGAATAGCGTCTCAGAAGAAGAGTTGCTTGGTGATTTTGCGTAAAGGAGTATAAAAGCTGTCGAAGACGATGATGCTGATGCTGATGCCCCCAAAAAGTTACCATCGTCGGTGCCCATCGTCGTACTTTATACATCCCACCTCCCTTCAACAACAGACCCGAACGCCATGATGCCGCCGCCCTCCAAAGCCATCAACCTCCCGATTGGGAAACCCATTCGAAAGCGTCCCGCGACCCCAGAGGACCGCACTGAGGCGCGGGCGAGGGCGCTGCCAAGCCACGGCGAACCAAGTGGGCCCGCCGGCACCGAGTTGCCGGGTGCGTCCAGTCGCGCACCCCGGTCGCCAGCAGACAATGGAGAGCCGGGCTCGACCAGCCACGGGAGACCTCTGCGAGGGACGTCAGCTTTTCGCACTCGGCTGCTAGACCAATCGCGTGGGCGTGGTGAGTTAGTGTCAGCGCCAGAGACATTCCTTCAGAACAAGGGGCCGCCGCGGAGGCAGCGTGCGCGGTCAGAGTAATCTCAAGAAACGATACGGGATGCCCGATTACAATCGACGATGCAGCAAGCACGCAGCAAGCACGTTGACGCACGAAATCACAGGTGTAGCTAGCGCCGGGGGGGTAAACTGCAAGGCAGATGTGTCCAAAAGTAAGGAGGCCGTTCGTTTAAACCGTCCGGCGGCTGTGCATGCGTTTTAACGGTACTCATCTATACTTCATAGGCCCAAAAAGAAGGCAATGTGCTATCCAATACTTCGTGACTTCATCTTCGTCCAGCGCGCTGTTGTTCGCGAGTGCCCTTGGAGAGCTCCCACCAGGCCCGCATCAGGGCCATGCCGCCGTTCTGCGTCTCGGGGGTCCTACCCCTCCCGCGGTCGTTCGGATCGCCGCTCGTACCCGCCGCCGCCGTCGCCGCAGCGGGATCTCGCCGCTCGGTTCCGTCTACGTCCGCTTCTTCTCGCGGTCCCTGTCCATTTGAGTGATCTAACACTTGCTGTCCAGATTGTTCCTGGCCACCAACCAGCACATATCTCCTGGTCTGGTTCAGTTTCGCCGCGCCGTTAGGTGCCCACACCTTATCTGGGTTTCCGTTGGCCCAGACGCCATCATGCGGGAGCCCGTAGTTGCGGTAATCGGTCACGTTTGGCTCGTTGTCAGGGACGCCGTCCGTCTCCATCGTTGGCGTCACGCCCTGGAAGATGCCTGCACCCCACCAGGTGCCGAACCGGCCCTCGCGGTCTCTGCTCAGGAGAGCCGCCTTTGCGTTGTGCTCTACCCACTTTGAGTACGCCTGACACGCGGATCCATGGGCCGTCTTGACACGCTCGTACGCTTGCACGTTCACAGTCATGCCTTGCTGGACATCTGCTAGGTCGAGGTGCTGGCAGAACGCGACAAAATGGTGGAAGAAGATGCCCTTGAAGGTTTGTCCGTCTTGCGAGCAGGTTGCGCTGGCATCGCATCGGTCTTCCATAATGCCGCCACGGCCTAGTCCCCGCCAAGGGGGAAGATATCCCGGAGGAAGGTTTGAAAGGTCATCAACTGGCTTGTCAGATGCCAAATCCCAGCCAGATGCCTTTATGACGGCTTGGATCAGTCTGTGACCGTCTTCGAGATACGTCGCGCTTCCTGTGGCAGCCCATAAACCTCGTTGGCCGGTCAAAAGAACGCCCTGGTTGTAAGTGAAGACTGCCTCACTGCGCTGATCACAGTTTGTATTCCCAGGCTTGGACCTATCGACGTGATAGCCATCAACGTACAGGCCAGCCTCATTGGTCATGTTGACGCCAGTGAGCCACTTGTAGCCTTCAATGGCGGCAGCAAGGTACTTGGGCTCCCGCGTGGCTTTCACACCACTCACGCTGTTGATCCAAGGGGTCGTGTTGTTGTCCCCAGGGAACCAGAGATACATCTGGATGGAGGCAGAAATCCACAGCTCGTTGGTGATGGCGTTCTTGTAAGGCTCCAACCTAGGGTTCCAGTTCATGCCACCGCCGCAAAGTTGAGTGTCCCAGCCCTTGGATGCCAGGTCCCAAAAGATTCTAGCTCTATGGGCAAAAGACGGAATCCAGAATTGGCCGTGCCAGGGGCCGTTCTGAAGCGCATCTCCGAGACCGGGCGTTGCGCTCTCATTGAGCCCAGGCCGAGGATAGAATAACTCGGTGTGAATGTCGATAAATTTCATGGCGTCAACCCAGCCAAGGACAACCCAAAGAATATCGTCGAAGGCCTGCGAGCAAGTCAGACCTGGCTTGCTCCATTAGCTTTGAATATTGGAGAAAACTCACCTGGTGACGAATTGCAACATCATCTTGGCCAAAATATGAGGCCACGAGTTGGGTAAAGAATGTGTCTATCAAGTTTCGTTTGGCACCCTTGTCAGAGTTTCCGCCAAAGTCTAGGACAGCCAATGCTTGCGACAATGAAGTCAGAGCACCTGAGAGCATCGTCTCCATGACTGCAGCAGTCCAGTCGATGGCTGCAGGCCACGTCCCTTGATCAGGCACGAAGAAGTCATGTTGCATGACCGTCAGGGCCTCAAATGCAGCCTCTAGGGGCTCATTTTTTATCTTTTCTGTATTTAGCGACGCCCTCTTCGCAGACTGTGGCGTCTGGAGGAAGGTCGCTGGTTGTTTGGCTTCGCAATCGGAGGGTGGCCGGGATTCGGAGTAGAAGATGGGGCAGTATGATTTGGGCGCATTCGGGGGTGTAGCCGCAGCGAGCGTCGTCGACGAGGAAGCCAAAGCAAGCAGTGCGAGGCAACCCGCGGATAATCGGAAGGTCGATCGGGCCATGATGGCGGGGTTCGAAAGGGAGAATCTATGTTCAAGAAAACGAGCAACGAGCTCTCGAAAAGGCCGCTCATGTACAGCAGCGCACTGCCATGTTCAGAAGGGATTCGGTGTCGCCTGAGCGAATGTCGAAGGACCAAAAGGATGCAGCAGGCAAGTAGAGGGTCCGCGACAAGCGATTGATTATGAACGAAGGAACAAAGCCAAAAGTGAGGGTTGTAAGAGGGAGTGGCAGGGCATCGAGGCAGAGGATGGCAGCGCTGAATAGCCGGGCGGTTTGGCGATGGCGGCGAGGCCATGCACCCAGCCAAGGAAAGCCCACTTTACCAGGTAAGATCCACCGGCACGAGGCACTCGAGTGGTCGCAGAATGGTGCACCGAGGGGGAGGTGACCACCTCCTTCGGAAAGGTGGCGGCCGCTAGACCTTGCTCATGCGGGGGATGTCTGGAGCCGCCAAGACCCTGCGCTCTGTCAGTGACAGTGACTGCAGAAAACCAGCAGGTTTTCCGGGCATCAAAGTGTACCTCGTTCTCTGCTACTGAAGGTCGCTAACGATTCACTGTCACTGTCACAGATGTGGTGTAGCCATCTACCCAGTAGATGCTATGCAGTTTTGAGGGAATGGTCACGAGTCTTGAACACTTGAGCAGCAGGTCGAGTATTGCATCCGTCCCACCTAAACCGACATCTCATGCCCGGCCCAAGTTCTTCGGCGGTGTGAAGTCCACGATGGCACAGCCCACCGACGGCGTGATCACCTGCCGATGTCTGGCGAGAGCCTGGTGGGCCTGGTGACTTGCTTATTGTCCTCGGACATGGCCATCGGAAACTCTACCGCAAGCCATGAGGCCGTTGAGGATTAGCAATAACTGATATAGATAGGATACCTTGACTGGCTTTGTCTTGGGCCGCGGGGAGTGGTCGTTCAGATGTCGAGATGTTGGGCAAAGCCGTTGAAGAGAACCCTGAGGAATGCGCTAGGGTGAAACGCAATGAGTCGTTCTCTCTAGAATCATTCTCTCAGCGGTGCTCGACCGCACTAGTATTCTGTCTCATGAACTTGACTAAGAGGCATGTGGTGTGGAAGGGTGCTCCCGTGCTCGATTGGCCGCAGCGATGCTGCAAGCGGGAACCCTGAACTTCTGGGCTTCCATCCTCGGAAGGAAGGAGCCTCGAAGCCAGTTCGGGCAGTGCCTACGTTTGGTCCGAGCACCACCTGAGTGTGTTCTCACCGAGGCACACCGAAACAAGCTGACCCTGTGGCCCTGTTTGTG